TGTTCCTGGGCGTCGCTGCCGAGGCCCTTCCGCAGGTGCCGGTGGGAAAAGCCCTGTGGGCCCCAGGGAGATAAGCTGGATTTATAGTGTTGGGAGACTCCACCATTTCCTAATGTTTTCCCTGGGGAACCCAGCCCATTTTGGTGCTGACAGCAGCTAGCAGAAGGATTACTGAGCATCTCTTAATAGCTCTGCAGTTTCAAAGGGTTGCTCTGATTTCCTGCGGACGTGCCCTGCTGGCAGCTTTGGGTGGAGGTTCCTACGCTGACCCTCTTCCTGGGGCGCCCTGATCTGGGTCTGTCTTGCTCAAATTAGGACACCAGGAGGTGGTTTCTGAGGCAGCAGACCAGACCTGTGTCTCGGATGTGGCAGCTCCTTCCCAGACAGGGGAATGGAGCTGTGGGGGCTCATCCTCTGCTGCCGTCCAGTTCAAGGGCAAAGAACTTAAGGGAAATCAGTGACATGGATGTTGGACTGGAGAAACAGCATTTACTGCTTGGGGACTGTCCTGCTGACTGTCCCTGGTTTTCTGCCCTGTTAAAGTGCTTCTCCAATCTCCTCCCTTAGTTCTTTTCTTGACCCTTTCCTCCCCTTTGCTCTGGAATGCAGAAGTGCTTCTGCAGGAGGCCACGTGGGGAGAGAAGGGGTAGCCATGGGTATCTCCTGGAAGTCAGCCCAGAGGTGACCCCTCACAGTCACTTCTGCATCAAGATTTGTGACTCCTGGTGATGCCTTTGATGTGTAGCTGGGCTTGCAGGGGATCCAAGCAGCCCTGTCTGGGCTCTGCCTGTTGAACCACCTTGTTCTGCGCCAGATTATAATCTTTGGTGTTCTAAATCTAAATCAAGACTCCTCAGTCTCCTAGGGTGACATGCTAAAGGCTGGCAGGAGCTCCCTGAAGAACCTGGCTGTTCAGTTTGCAAAGGAGATGATTCCTCCAACAGATGGTCGTGGCTTGGTTGCCTTTGGTCTTTTCTCTCAGGTGTCTTTGACCTTGAGTGTCACCGCTCTCCTGCCCTGGCAGACCACGAGACTTCCCCTCAGTCTCTTGCTTTTTGAGATCTCTTGCTCAGACACAACCCCCAGCTTTGCTCCAGGAGTCTGTGTTTGGCGGTACAGTCAGTCAGCTGATGCCTCTTTTGGAGAAGAATTTGGGCAAGCCCAAGGTCACAGGATAGCTGAGGCAGAACTTCCTCCTACCTGGGGAAATGAGTCAGGGCAGGAGCAATCCAGGTGGAGATGTGGTGATTGTCTCCAACATCTGGAGTCTAGACTTCCCTCCTGTTCTATGGCTCTTTGGAGTGGCTGGTGGTCCTTTTTAAGTGGTGTGTGAGCCCAGACAAGAGAAGACCAGACACCTGATGCAGCTAAACAGAGTAATTTTAATGAAGATGAGAAACAGTGAGTTACAGAAAGAACAAGTTTGCAGAGATACAAAAGGGTCTTCAGCAAGCAGAGAGTTTCTGATGGTGGGTGATGCTTTTCCTGGTGGGAGTGGTGGAGTTTGACAGCACAGAACAAGTTTCTTGCTCACAGAGTTGCTTGGAAGTCACGTTCACTGCCAGATGAGGCACAGCACGGACATGGAACAGGAGCTTCTCTACTAGATGTCATCTTGGGTGAAGTTAAAGGCTGAGCAAAGTGGTTGCAGGAACTCCTACTACTATGACAATACCAAGGGGTTGTGAATTAAAACTGAAAGGCACTTTACTCACACCCAAGGTCTTGCTCTACTCCCCCAACATGCTCTGAAGGTGCCTCAGCTCTTGCTGCAATTCAAGTTGCCCTTTGGAGCTATAGCTGAAGAAACAGGAGACGTTAGAGAGGGTTACACGTGGAGTGGTTACACATGGAGTGGTTACACGGGAGTAGTTACACAGGGAGTAGTTTCAGGCAGCCTGGCACCCACGTGTCCCCCTGAACTCAGCCAGGGGGTGGGCACTGGGCGTTCTCAGCCCCAGAAATCAGCCGTGAGTCCGTGTCCTGCATTTCAGTCCTTGGTTGCTGTTCCTGCTTCAGAAGAACCTGCCCCCGAAGCGAGAGAAGGGGTATCCGTACCCACTCCCGTATCCGTACCCCAACCCGGACAGGTCCCCGTACCCGTAATAGCCCCCGTAGCCAAGGAAGCCCCTGTTCCCAAACAGGCTCCCAAAGCCTCTGTAGCCGTAGGGGCTCCCATATCGGAACTGGTCCAAGGAGTAGCTGAAGGGCCTCCCAAATCTGAAGCCGTAGAGGTCGTCGTACCCAAACTGGGAGTAGCACCCGTCGTCGCAGAAGTCCCTGTAGAAGGTCATCGTTTGTTGATGTTGGTGAGCCTGGAACACACCCAGAAATGAGGTTTATGGGCTGCTGACGGCAGGAGGAAAGGCTGGAAGGAGATGCAGCTCCTTCCCTCCTGTGTTCATCCTCCTAATTACCTCATTTATTTTTCTAATCTCCCGAATCCCAAACAACTTCTCTAATTTGTTCCCCCCTCAGCTTTTGGAAATCGCTGACTGAACATGGAAAAGAAGGTTTTTACCAACCGAGAACTGAACTTTCCCACTCTGGAATTCAGAGGAATTTTAATGAACTAAAGAAAAATGCACAAATATAATCCAGAATTGGAAATCACTTTTGGCTTCAAAATTATGGTAGAAAACTTCAAGTTTTCAGTGCTTTAAAGCCTAAATATTCAGTAAGACCAGGAAAGAAGAGCAAAAAAGTTTGAGTGAAGGAATTCCCTGCGATTGCAGGGAATTTTGTGTTTGGAATTTGCTCCAAAATGACAAGAAATTGCTTACAGAAGGTCTGTACCTGTACACAGACACACATTACATATGTCACATATAAATGGACACACCAGTACCTTTTATAGATATACATTAAATTATAAATATATATATTTTTATATATATCCAAGCACACACAGATATTTGGACAAACACAGAGACACGAGAGCAGAGTCGGGATGGACTTACCCGGTTCACCGAGGGGAGCAGTTGAGTGGCTGAGAGGAGTGAATACAGTTCTGGGCTCGGAGGTCCGTATTTATACCCTCCCGAGCTCCAGAGTTGTCCAGGATATCTCATCAGACCCTTTGTCCCTCCAGTTGACGTCGGCGGAGTCACCGATTTTCATATTTGCCGAGCTTGGCGTCGGGACACGTACGTAACACCTCCAGAATTTCTTTAATCTCGAAATGAGGAGAATCTCTGGGAAAATTGCAGGCAATTCCCTGTGCTTGGAGGGCTGGCAATAATTTGGGGAGACGTTTAGACCATTGCCCGTTGCGCAATCGCCTTGTGGCTGCTCTGTTGGCTTGGCTTTGGCATCCTGTGGTGCAACAAGTTGGGGACCAAAGGCACGGGCTCGGCTTTGGTGTGCCGAGGAGGGCTGGAGCTTCCCAGCATCATCCTGACCTTTGCCTGCTTCCTGGTGACCCTGGGGGGTGTCCCTTCCCAGCAGCTCTGTTGGATTTTGGTCTCGGGTTCTACAACAGCAGCGTCAAAGATGTTTTCCAACTGCCCCGCGAACGTTCCCAAATATCCCTTCCTATTTTAGAACATTTTTATGGAGGGGGGGGATGGTTTTTGACTTTCATACAACAAAAGCAGCACCTTAATGGGGCTTGGAAACAAGAGACCTTGAAGTGTCTTGGAAGTGACCGTGTTATTAAATCTGGAGGTGTCTTTCGGTGACAAACTATTAATATTTAAATCCTGCAACACTTTGCAAATTGAAAACATTAATGAGTGTTTATGAAGTGCTTTGGTATTCAAAATTCTGAGGAAGCCTCAACATCCTGTTTGCTCATTATTACGCTTATTTTCCATTCAAATTAATGCCAGGAATTAGGTGAAGGTCACACAAGGAGTTCTGCCGTGAACTCCGGTGTTCCTGGAGTTGGATACACGTGGTTGATTCTTTGTGGAAAAAATATGGACGTGATTCTTTGGAAAAAAGCATTTAGAGCTCTTTTAGTGCTAATCTTTATGATTTCTTTATTTCCACATCAAGTTCATACCTGAATTCTCCACGTTGTTGTGCTGACGTCAAGCCCTTTAGTGAACTAAAGTGTTGCAAACAATGCCAGAGTCATAATTTTTGTTGAAAACATTCTTTCTGCTCATGCAGCAACATGACTTCGATTCATGAGCACTTTGGAGGAATGGAATTAAGATTTATTTATGGTTCTGGCTGTTTTTCCTCGAGTTGCTGAAGTTTGATATAAAACTCCTACATCTACATTTGCATTTCCTTTAAATGAAAAACCTGTGTCGTGTTGCATCAGTTTCTAGTGAAAAACAAATATCCAATACATGGAAAAGCTTTCCTTTTTTACTGAAAATTTCTCTCTCTCCAATGTCCTTGAGAAGGCAGAAATGACTTTCATATTATACAGAAATAAACTTCAGTTTTCACAACGGAGACAATAAAATGGTATCAGGAATGTAGCTGGCCCAGAAAATTGGCAGATGAAAGGAACCTGTAATACGTGTGCCATATAGGAGGCTGGGAACACACTAATAATCCCAAACAATGAAGAAAATTATATTAATTGAAGATATGACGTGTACAGGCAAATTTGTTTTCCAACCAATAAGGCTCCCAACGTTTTTGAATACTCAGGGCGTCTGAGATAAGCCAGGAGGGCCAGCAGGGAGTATAAAAAGGGCCGGGAGCTCCGGGCTCCTCAGCAGCTCCTCTGCCTTCCTCCTCCTGGTGAACTCAGTAAGTTTTCCCTCCTTCTTTCACAGGGATTGGGAATTTTGCCTGAGTGATTTCTGCTGGGATTGGGGCTGCTCTGAAATTTAAGATTTCTCCGGGAATTTCTCTGCAATTCAAGGTTTGAGCTGTGCTGCAGGAGTTGGTGGGTTCAAGTTTTAAAGCTGGGGGTGAAACGGGTCCTGTTGGTCCCTGAGGCTCCCTGATAAGGGATTATTAGGGCAGCAGAGGTAGAAATGGGTTTCCCCACCATGACCCTTGGTGTTTTTTTTCCATAAATCTCCTCTTTTAAGTGCGATCTGCAGGTCTGTTTGGCAGGACAGGTGTTCTCAGGTGGTTGTGTGTGCTGTCAGCACTTCCAGATGCAAATTAAAATGGGTGGAAATCACTGAAATGGCACTTGGAGGGATGAACCCAAACATCACTTTGGGCTTTCTTGAAGACTTCCTTGATGGAGCTGGCAATGCAGAGCTCCATGCAAAGCTGATGTCCTGAAAGAAATTTAGGGTTGTCCACTCCTAACAGATATTCTCTAAGAAAAATCCTGAATCAGCAGCAAGGTTTTGGTCTGTAACAGGTGATTCCATGGTCAGGGTTTTCACCAATCATAGAAAGTGAGAAAACCAGATAGTTTAAAGGCAGGTTGGATTTGATGGTCCTTGTGGGTCCCTTCCCACCTGGCAGATCCTGTGATTCTGTGTTCTTGGGGAGGGTCCTGTGCAGGGCTGAGAGCTGGACTCGATGGTCCTGGTGGGTCCCTTCCAACCCAGCACGTTTGTGGCATTCTGTGGATAAATAAACCCCAGAAATGGGCTGTAAGGAGGAGCTGAGGCCACGACGTTGCTCCTGCCCTCGGCCTCGCGGGACCCCTGAGGAAGTTTCCGGGCTCTGTCGCTGCCATTGGGAATATTCACGGGAATATTCACGGCCTCTCCTTCCCTCCCCGCCGCCAGGTTTGCCTCCAGCACACAAAGATGACCTTCCTCCAGGGCCAGTGTGACGACGATTGCTACTCCCCCTGCGGCTACCGGGGCTACGACTGCGGGAGCCCCTGCGGCCCACGGGCTACGGGGCCTCTACGGCTCCGCGGCCTCTACCGGCCTCGGCGACGCTACGGCTACGGGGGCCTTACGGCTACCGGGCCTCATACGGCTCCGGGGACGCTACGGCTTCGTTTGGCTACCGGGGCTTCTACGGCCTACGGGGACTGCTACGATACCCCCGGTGTTTAACTCGGGCCGCTACGGTGACCCCACGGCTCGCCGCTGACGCCAAGGTACGGCTATCTGGGGGGCTGCTTACAGCTGCTGAACCCCGCCGGGACGGCCCTCGGGGGAAGGTCAGCCCAAGCCTGGCACGCAGGGCTTGATGGAGAACCTCGGCAGCAGAGGGTGTGCAGGGCCCCGGGCGCACCGCCCGCCCTGCGCCGCGGCTTCGAGAGCTCTGCGCTGCCCTCGAGGTGCTTGCGATGATCCCTCTTCGTTCTGCTCGGTGTCTGCTGCTGCTCCTGCCACCCAGAGTCTCCCCTTGACCTAGAACCTGCTTCTCCTCGGTGCTCCAGTCCTCGGAAACCGGCTCTGATGTTGTTTGCAACGATGTACAAAGCCTGAGCTCTGGCCGGGTGGTGGGCAGGGTGTAAAGGCCTCTCTGGGAATGTGGGCTCTCTGTTCTGTGTCTCTTTATAAAGTACATCTGCCTTTCACTCGTATTAAAAACTTATTCTGCATCAATCCTGCATTTTCCTGGTTTTATTTTCCACTTTATTTCTGAAATATCTTCAGATCCATAGCAGCAAACAGTGACAAATTTATTAACTTGGTTTGCTTCAGGACTTGCCTGTGGAGGCTTGTCCTCCTCAGGCTGGAAACAGGGACTTTTGGAGCTGCAAGAAACTTGAGCTGTGGCTCTGGATTTGCATGTTCCTACAACTCCAGGCTTTGGCTTGGTGGGAAATAAGTAATTCATCTCCAGATGCTTCGGTGCTGCTGTTGGGCCAGTGTGGTGTGATTAGGACATGAGCCATCACTGCCTGTGACCTGATATTGGACAGGAACTCTGGAACAAGAACACTGAATTTGGCTTGCAGGAATTGGACAATATTCTGCTCACTTGAACAGTTTTCTGTATTCTCTGTGCAGGTCTGGGACTAATTCTTTTATATTTGCAACATTATTATGAAGACCATTACAGCCCTATTGTGCTGAAGTATTAACTCCACCCCAGGTAAAACCAGCACATTTAACCTTAAATCTGGTAATAGTTTAATTAAGTAAATGAAAGGGAGAAACTGGGGCATTTCTTGCATTTCTGAGGGGTAAAAGGGAAGAGAAGAGTGTATTTACTGGGACCTCAGCGGACTGATTTTCCAGATCCTTCCCCAGCTCTGTTCCCTCTGTTGGACATGTTTCAGCCCCTCAATGTCTTTCTTTCCGTGAGAGGCCCAGAACAGGACACAGAACTCGAGGTGCAAATACTTTGCCAGCTCTGGGGACAGAAAGTCCTTTCAGGATGTCACCACTCACCACTTTATGTGTATTCACGTAAAACAGGGACAGAGGCAAGAAAACAACTGGATCTCCAGGGTTTTTTAAATGCAGAAAGACTTTAATGCAGCAAGAAAAGGAGTTGGCACAGATACAGAAAGATTATAGTTTTGGGATACTGGAAGGAGCTACAGGAGGTGAGTCACTGCACTGGAGAACATTCCTTCTTGTTGGAGCCACCTTGTTCATCCTCCAGGTGCTTGTAAATCCAGATCAAAGGCAAGACAGCTGTGATCCTGCTCCATTACAGTCCTGCAGCACCTTACTGGAAGTACTTATTGAAAATGCAGATGACCCAAAATCTCATATTGCACAGGGATGCAATATGAGCAGCTGCAAGAAGTTCCACAGGAATTGCAGATCGTCCCTCCCGTCGCTGACGGGGCTGTGAGGGCGTTTAAATACAGGAGACTACCAAGAGGGTTGAGAAAGGCAGGGAGAAGCAGACAGAAGGAGCAGGGAGAACAGAAATCCCCAGGAGTTTGTAGAGCAGGGCCGAGCTCCTCATCCTTCGTGACCTCGGGTGCCCCGGCGGGGACTCGGCGCGTGTCCGAACGTCCCGTCGGGGCTCAGCCCTCGGCCTGGGGGTGCTGGGGGAGCCATAGGGGGGTTCAGCAGCAGGAGGAGCAGCAGCCGTAGGAGTAGCAGCAGGAGCCGTAGCAGTAGCGGGTGCCGGGCGCGGTACCGCAGCAGTCCCCGCAGCCGTAGGTGCGGCGGCAGCAGCGCAGGGTGCGCACGGTGCAGGGGCTGCAGCAGCTGTAGGTGCGGCAGCAGCGAACGCTCCGGTAGCAGGGGGAGCAGCACAGGGTGTAACAGGGCGAGTAGCAGCAGCAGGACATCCTGGGGGGGTGCAGGGAGGGAGGGAGGAGAACCTGAAACAGAGCAGGAGGTCGAGGTTAAGCTCAGCTCGCAGCCAGGAGGGTTCGGGTGGAAACATGGAGCAAATCCCTTTGTTTGGGTGTGATTCTCGTTTCACAGGATCACTGAGGCTGGAAAAGACTTCCAAGAGTCCAAGCTGTGACCCAGCCCCAAGCTGTCACCCAGCCCAGAGCACCGAGTGTGGGAAAGGCTTCACTTTGCTGCGGTAACTTGGTTTTTGGTTGGTTTTT